ATTTTATGTTTATTGGGCTCTCCTCGCATTGTGTTGAATCCTATTGTTCATTGTTATTGATCTTAACCGATGCATTGTTGTTGTTCTATTTTTTAAAATAAATTTGTTTTTACTGAAGAACGGCAGCGATAAATATCCATTTCCATGAAAAAGTTCATTCGAATAATGGGTTCGAAAGCGAGATTATTTAGCGTGTTCAGGTGGCCAGCATGAAACAAAGGCATCTAATGCAAGTAATCGAATAACACTGAAGAATTACATCCGGTCGGCGACCCTCGAGTTTAATTTCGCTCTTAAGGTTGGATCGGGGCACCTGAGCAATCACAATGTTTTGGTTAGGTCGGGAAGCCCCGAGAATCAGTGGTTCGTGATCGCAACCGAAACAGACCGGTCGATCGGTGGCAAGCGAGCAGCAAATTTCGATGCCACCCACCGAGGCTGTTCAATCGGTGGCAAACAAATCGCTTGTTCATCATTGGTCATCTAACATGTCCCTATTCCAGCTTGTTCTGTTCCCGTTCAATTCTTGAGCTGTTCTGTTCGACTCGTAAAGTAGAACAGATCAAAAATCTGAATCAAACACATTTAATAGAAGGAAAGCTCGAACAACATAGAATGAAACAACTGATAGGGCAGAGCAACACTTACGATTAGAAAAACAGTTGCGGAGTAAATAATTGTAACGGAGCAATCGAAACATGAAAACATTACAGGAACAGTGCAGAGTAAAAAGAGGAAGGCTAGCTAGAGCCGTGAGCTTGTTCTCAAAACGCTGGAACGGAACAGAATAGACACGAGACAAGCATTGCAACAAACATCGTTCAGGGAGATATTATATCAAACCGCTTTGAATCGTGTTGTTGATGAAAAGTCAAGTGATTGTGAAATAAAATCCAGTTGATTATCATCGAGCGCAATGCAGATAAATTTTAAATGCGGATACTTCAACAATTTTAACAAAATTCTGAACTTGGAATACAGTAATGTTAAATCGAATATATAAATGTGAATTATTAGGAAAGAACTTCATTGCTAATTCACACATCGGAATGAATTTGATAACAGTTCACGTCGGATCCAAATGAACAATTCGTGCGCATGACCGGATGCGGGATGAAAAGAGTAATGTGTTCATACATGAGTTAAGACTCTCTGCAAGAAAACTCCCACGATGGATTCCACATTTGTCACTTTAAAGGATACATCGCTTCAGTCCTAATTGATTGTTTTATGAGTGAAAAGCCGAATGAAGGAAAAAAGACCCGTCAAACGAAAGATGAAAGGCAAAAAAGCGATAGTCACCATCTTTGATCTCGTGATCGAGATCAAAGGTCGAAACGAACAAATGGAATAGGAAGGTATGCCATGCCGTCTGTTTTCGTCATAAAATGTCTGAAAAATGAGAGCTGATTGTGAGGCGTGCATCGATGACTTTCTCAAGCTTCATACTTTTGATTGGATGCAGACGAAGTTGGTCGATAACAACGGATACGTGTTTGTCCAAGACAAGACTCCATTCCCAGCACATGAATGACAATTTTTGGTAAGAGGAGATTTAGCTTCCTAATTCGTCGGACCTAAACAATGCTGAGACACTTGAATATATATATATATATTTTGTGTATATATATATGTATATATATATTATATATATATATATA